ATTCGCAAACTGTGGACAGCTTTAGTAAATCTATGGGCCACCCAAGCCTCAGCTCCTGGCCATTCTGGGAAAAGTGAGAGGAGTGCAGCCTCTCGGTTAGCTCATCCCTGGGGTCCGCTTCTCCCTGCAGATCCCCTGTGACCCTAGGCGTTCAGTGCCGCCTGGCCTCGGACAGTCCTGGCCTACAGAAAACATAAATGCCCATGGCTTACTGGCCAGGCTGCCTTTCTGGGGACGTCTCTTGGCCTGGGAATGAGCCTACAGAAAGCAGGGGTGGGGGCAGGGGTAGGAGGTGTGGTTTGAAATAGCTGCTATCCAAATTCTGGTTTGGCTTTTCCTTCCTTTGCTGGAATTAGAACTGTGTGTATCACATCCAGAGCCCGGACTAACTTAAAGCCACAGAGCTTTCACCCGGCCAGAATCTGAGGAAGGACTAAGCCCTGCAGGTCCACTCAGGGCCTGGCACCTGGGAGCAGGACCAAGAGCAGGAGTAAACCACATGCACACCCAGTGGAGCACTCGGCCTCGGCGCCCTTGCCCTGCACCCTCTGGTCTGGGGGTCTCTGGGAAGCAGAACAGGCGATGATGATAAATAGATTTGCATTGTCACAGTGGGAAAAGGTATATGGTGAACGTCTCCGACCTCTGTTCTCCAGACACCGCCCTCCTTGAGATAAGCAGTATGAACAGTTCACCAGGTATCCTTCCAGGACTCCGTGCACGTACAGAAATTCTCCCTTTTATGCAGACGCACAGTATTTTTACTTGGCTTTGTTCACTTGATAATCTTTTGTGTAGATGCTTGGGAGTCTTTTGGAGTGAGTTCTGGGCGCCGTCTGCTGATATGTGAGGGGATGTGGAAGGCTGCTTCGGGTGTCTGTGCCCTGGGTGTGTGGCCTGGAGGAGGTCTGCAGTCATGGATTCACTGGCTTTCTCATCTTGCCCCATCTCCAACCCTAAAGGATTCCTTATTGTTTTCCGTTTAGTTTTTAATATTAGCTTTGTTTGACCTTGGCCTAAATGTTGGTTTTGACCACCAGTCAGGGGGCACAGGAAAGCAAAAGGCACTGCCTGCACCCTTGTCCTGTAAGCCGGCCTGGGTGGCCTGGATCCACCTGACCAGCTGCCATGTGTTTATTTATTTATTTAAATATCAGAGAAGAAGGGAAAGATAGAAACATCAGTGATGAGAGAGAACCATTGATCGGCTACCTCCTGCACGCCCCCTCCTGGGGATCGAGCCCACACCCAGGCATGTGCCCTGACCAGGAATTGAACAAGGATGTCCTGTCCTGGTTCATAGGTCGGTGCTCAAGCACTGAGCCTCACCGGCTGGGCAGCTGCCATTTACTGGGCACCTACCCTGTGTCGGGTCTGTTACCTGCCCTTGCCCATTTGTGCCACATCCAAGGAGGTGAGTGCTCCTCCCATCACAGGCCTGTGGGGCCCCACAGCTCTTGCTGTTGCCCCGGCCTGCGTTCCCTCCACAAAGTCAGCTTGAGATTCGCACACAATGCTCACCGCTCATTGTGTCCCTGGGGAGGCGGACG